ACCAACACTCTGCCCCATCGACTCAATCAAGGGCATCCAGTGGATGGCAACCTGGTAGTTAACGGTGGCGAGATGGGTGTTGCAGTGAGCGAGGGAACGCGCGCAGGAGTGATGAGCCGTCATCACACGATTGCCGAGCGTAACGAGAAGCGCACCACACAGACACACACACACACACACACACACACACACACACACACACACACACACACACACACATCGCTCACTGTCATGATGAGACATGGGCATGCCATCATCATCCCCAACACTCGCGCATCACACACGTCCAGCGAGATGATGCCACGCAAGCGGGCTGCTGTGGGGTGTGTGCGTGAAAACCACGTGTGCAAGGGGCGGGTGATGAGCACCTACAGCGTGCATGCCATGTAAACTGACTTGATTGCAAGCTGGAGGATGAATGATATGTGACCACGAGAGAAGACTGACCGATGTCAGCGCAAATGCTGTGATTGCTCGCCCCTGTACCCCTGTGGAGGTGCGTCCCACTCAAACGTGGCCTTCTGTATTGCTGGTGCCTTGGTCTCCGCCACTCTCACTTGCCGATTCCTGTCTGTTTGTTGTTTGCGTGCGAGGAAGAGACGATGCAACCGTGAGAATACACGTGCCAACAGCAGCAGCACCAGCAGCAGCAAGGCAGCAGCAGTGACAGCAGTGGTTGTGGTTTGGAAATCGGATCACCACCGTGCACTGATACACACACGCACAACACACACAGAGCGGAGGTGTGATTGCACCCACCTCGCAGGTGGCCGTGAATGACACTGCTTGTCGCTTGCCTTGTGGTGTGCGTATGTCAGCGGCACGTGTTGCCAGTGCACTCTCAGGGGCGTCATTAGGTTTCTGCAGGCCACTGCCTTGTCCAATCACAAGAGAACAGCACACCTGTTCGCGTCAGCCAAGCACAACAACGACGACCTGACGACGACGAAACCACCACTTTCAGCAGGTGCGCAGCCCCCTGCACACATCCTTGTGCCACAAGAAGAAGGAAAGCAGGGAGTCCACACCCACACCCACAACAAGACAGCAACAGCAACAACCGACAGCACTGCCGCCACACAAACAGGACACCGCGTCCCACGTTCACGTACTTGGTTGCGTGACGCATGGAGCGAACGAATAGTGCCCAAGAAGAAGAAGAACAAGAAGCAGAAGTCGAGGAAGGAACAGTGGGCATGATGTGTGTTGGCTAACCTGAGGATCGTTGACGTGACGCCTGCTTTGTGTGCATGTGTATGTGTGTGTGTGTGTGTGTGTGTGTGTGTGTGTGTGTGTGTGTGTGTGTGTGTGCATGTGTGTGTGTGTCAAAGACCTTTCTTCCGCATTGGTCTGGTTGGCTGTTGGTGACTGGGTAGCGATCACCAACAATAGAATCTCCTCTTGCCCTCTCCCACATCTCTCTTCTCCCCCATGCTGCTGTTGCGGTGACTGCCACATCACCCCCTCCTTCCTTGCCTTGCCTTGCCTTGCCTCGCTGTGTGCACTGCAGCAAAGAGAAGAGGAAGAAGAAGAAGAAGCGAGCGAAAGCAAGTTTGGGCTGCCACATCTCCACCACAGTCATGTCATCGACTGATTTCAGCTTTTCCCGTCTTCTTGCACAGACACAACAGACGTTTGTCGTGGTTGGCTGCGCGCAATGCACACACACACACACACATACATACACACACATATGCTGCATTCGCTGCGACGAAAGGAAAAGGGATGGATGGGAAGGTGCGTGGTGGTGGTTGGCGGTGGTGGTTTGGTCACATGCTCAGCCACAACAGCCACAACAACAGCAGCAGCAGCAGGGAGCAGCGGGGGGATATTGATGATGATGACAATGACACATGCAATCCATCAATCAATCAATCAAGCAGACGAGCAAGCACACAAGCAAGAAGCAAGCAAGCCAAACAAAGGGACAAGTATTCATTCACTCCGCTTGGACGAGCGACACGTCCACCACGTGGTGCGTGCGTGTGTGTTGTACTCACTGCTCTGCCCTCCTTTACACTGTTCCTCCCTGCCTCGCAGTCCACTCTCCCTTTCTACCCTTTGCACACCCCTTGCTTTACCTGCTCTCTGCACACCCTCTCTTCTCCACCCCCCCCCCTTCACTCACACGTCTCAAGTCACATGTCTCTCATCTCACCCTTTGCTTTTGGCTGCAACGCTGCGCGTCTTCATCTCCACCACCACCACCTGTTTGGCAGGCTGACGATGAGGATGATGATGGTGGCTTGAACGACAGTACCGTGTCCTTGAGCGGATGCCATCACCGTGTGCCACGGCAACAAGAGGTACTTCCTTCTCTCTCGCTCTGTCTTGGTATGTGCATGGCTGATGGGGTGGGGGGTGTTGCCTGGGATTTCCACTCCACTGCACTGCACCTCAATCTCAATGTGCTGTGTGACGCGACATGCACACCACAGTGTGCACTCCTCCTCCCCCCACTTATCCCCTCAGCACGTCCTTGTTCTTGTCAACCACCTCCCCTCGTCAATCACACCCCACACACACACACTCTCTCTCTCCTTTACCCCTGTCACGATGTGTGCTTGCTTCAAAGCAGGCCGCTGACATTGTCATCACCGCTGTCAGACGGTGGTCGGTGCAATGCACGGGCATGGAGACAGTGAGCCAGCTCGTGGTCTCCAGCGTGGTGGCTGGGATGTGCACTGAGGTGAAAGATCCCACCACCACACTTTCGCTTCCATACCACCATGACTGACACCACTGGCATTGCTGGTTAACACGCACCAGCAGGCATCGCTCCCAGCGCCACACAAGAGATGTGTGTGGGTGTGTGTATGTGTGTGTGTGTGTGCGCGCGCGCGTGTGTGTGTGTGTGATTGAATTCATTTGCACTCGTTGCCCTTCCCGCATGTCGAAACAACCACGCACACCGACAACCCCTCGTCAACACAACACCTTTCAACATCCCCACTGGGCTGATGCAGGGCTACACTGGCACGTCGTGCACGACAGCTTCTCATTGTCAGTTCTCCCTTGTCTCCTTTTTTGTCTGCACACAGGTCGCATCACCCCCGCCCAGTGGAGCGCCTGCATCTTGCTCCCCCACCCTCCCGTTGCACGCGTGCACACACGGATTCCGACCCAGCGCAGGCTCTGCTGCTGCAGCCAACCGCCCACACACATCGTCGCCGCAACGCCGCTTCAACCAACCGCAGCCACGGGCATTGCACCTTTGCTGTGATTGAGTGCTGCCAGCACGTGGCCCCAC